CAGAGAGGTTGTGGAGTCTCCTTCTCTGGAGATCTTCAAAACCCGCTTGGATGCAGTCCTGTGCCGCGTGCTGTAGGTGACCCTGCGTATGCAGGGGGTTTGGACTAGATGATCTCTAGAGGTCCCTTCCAACCCTACGTATTCTATGATTCTATGATATATACTGGCATTAACTTGTTTGGACTGGTTGTTAGGTTTGTCTTTTAACTGGACCTAAACACCTAAAGCTGTTTTTAATTTAGATCAGATTGGAATTAGTCTAGATGCTATTTGCTTTGGCATTCACTAACGTAATAAATGCAATTTTTGTTTGTTTGTTTGCTTTTTATAATACTACGTACTGAAATACTACCTTTTAAATATTAACACAGTTGTAATGAAATTGAATTTCAGGCAAATCCTCCTGGTGTGTTAGCTTTACTGGATGAAGAGTGCTGGTTCCCTAAAGCTACTGACAAGACATTTGTGGAAAAATTGGTCCAAGAGCAAGGAACCCACTCCAAATTCCAAAAGCCACGACAGCTGAAGGACAAAGCGGATTTCTGCATTATCCACTATGCAGGGAAGGTAAGGGTTAAACATTGAATCCTTGCTTAGAAATGTTGCTTTTGGTAAAGTGTTGTGAAGTTCTAGCTTCAAAATTTAGAAATACTTGTGCAGAAAGGGGGGCCTTGTTGTATTTTCTTGGACGCATTCAGGAGTGCTGAAAACAATATTAATTTGGACACTAAGCAAATATTTTATTTCAGATTTGTTTAGTTTTCCTGTCAGGTTTTCTGTGTACCTTGCAGATGAGCTTTTTGGGACATTTTATTGAAATAAATCTACTGTCAATTTGTGTGTTTCCAAGCTTCATAGCATATTTGGCTGCTTGAACATGTGTTAAGTCAATACCATGATCTTTAATTCCACCAGTTCACATAATGACTTCCTATGTATATGTGACTGAGCTAGTGGCTGAGAGCTATCCTTTAATTTTGATTTAAAATACTAAAGTCAATTCATTAACGTCAGTGGTTAAAATTAGATCAAAGAATTGTGACAAAAAAGTGAAGAATATATTTTTGTTATATCAATACTTACAAGAGTAATTTAGAAAGAGTGAAATTGTCAGTTACTGTATTTAGTAGATTAGGTGTGAAACAAAGACTTAATAAAACTTTTAAGCAAACAACATGGAGTGAAATAACTGGGTGCCTTCCTTATTGCTGAGAAGGAAGTGTTTTAAAGAGCGCTTCTGTCGAACTGTGTGACCATTTCTGTCATACTGGCAGTATGTTGTGTTTCTTACTGCAACCAGAACACACTTTCCAGTTTTCCATCAGAAAGTATCTTTTCTTCAAAAGCGAAATACTTTTATAAAATTGTTGTTGTTGTTGTTATTGTTATTGTTGTTGTTGTTGTTGTTTGTTTGTTTGTTTTGATGGTGAAACTATTTAAATTTGGATTTCTTTCCAAAGATGTTATATAAATTAAATAGAAAGCTCTCTGGTTAAAGCAAAAACATGCCATTTGGACTTGAGAGCTTTTAGGACACTGTTTTGGGCTGGGATGAAATCCATGCCAGTAGCCTGGTGTTCTCAACTGCTGAGCTATGCTGCTTTTGCAAACCACAGTGTTGGTTCTGTCCAAGATAACAGCATTGTTTGTTTTCACTATGGAATGAATTGTTTAAATATAGCTATTAGAGTCAAATTAAGAATATTCATCTTGCAGCACATTCTTAATCCACTGTCCTATGATTTAGATAAAGTTAATTAGAGACTTGGTACTGGTGTTGTTTTTACATCTCCGTAGTGAAGCCTCCTTTTGGCTGTAACACTAGATTGAAAGTGTATACCAGGTATTATAAGAAAAAAGTCAAATACTGATTTTTTAAAAGTAATATATTTCATTTACTCTTACAAAAGAATAATTGTAGAAAGAAAAATAGTGGCACTCTGAGCTGTTCTGCGAATACATGTCTAAGAGCCAACACATCACAAGGAATAGGAGGAAAATTCAAGTACAGTTTTGAAAGTTTTTAGCTAGTAAATCAAAACTGAGGGTGGTAGTCTCTTTAATCATGTGCAACTCTGCTGCCCCACAGGTAGACTACAAGGCAGATGAGTGGTTGATGAAGAACATGGACCCTCTGAATGACAACGTGGCTACACTTTTGCACCAGTCTTCTGACAAATTTGTTGCAGAGCTTTGGAAGGATGGTAAGAGATCATGCTTTAAGTACATAGACAGTACAGATCTAACCTTTTTAGATAAGATTTTTTTTTTATTTGTGCATGTTTCCCACCACCCACAGCCTCGAATTGTAAATATCTACAGCATTTTCTCAATATGTTGTTTAGCACTGAAAGTCCCACAGGGGAGCTGGATTGCTCCTATGGCCCCCTGCACATGTACCATTTCTGATTAGCTGCTTTTCATGTTCATTATTTGAACGAGTTTTCACCTACTACTTGTTACCCTCTGTCAAATGTCATCTTGAGAATGCCCAGAACTCTGATTTGACTTGTTGGGGTGAAGTCCCCAGCATGAATAGCTGTACTGATACTGCTGTTGTTAAAATGCTGTCCTCTGTGAGTCTGAGCACAGTTATTTATCATGAGGAGCCATATTAGTGCTTACAGATATTGCATGTTCATACCCAACCCTATATTACTCCTGTTCCAACAGCATACTGATAGTATCCTTGCACATCAGCTTAAGGTATTTCTCATCATCTTACCAAAATATTCCAAGAAACAGCAATAACCTACTAAATGCTTAGCAGGGAATTATCTACCTTTAGTTTTTTCTTATACAGTATATTAATTACAGACAGTATATTTAGATGTTAAATATATTAATCGTGCAGTTTCTTACTCCGGGAGGAAATCAAGCTTGTGATATAGATGATGCTGTAGGTTAATACTGAGTTGATAGGAATTACTTACTTCAGCTAGAGAAAGCAGTTTTAATAAATACATGCAATAAATATACACAAAACTTTTGATTGGGCATCTGTTCCTTTCCTTTTGAGTATAGATATAGAAGCAAAAGAATTTCAATACAAATGCTCCAAACTTGCTTCCAGAGATGGTTGAAATGTGCATGGAATATGTTGTGGCCTTATTGCTTTTGTAGCACAATATAAAATCTGCTTGCAATTGATGAACCTGTTCTGTATACTAACTGAAGTGTCTTGTGTATCTGCTCTTCTGTCTTTGTTTTCACTGTTTCTCTGCCTTAGAGATTCAGAATATTCAGAGAGCCTGTTTCTATGACAATATTACTGGTCTTCATGATCCACCAGGTGAATGGGTATAAAAATTGTAGGTCTCCTAAAGGCAGGGCTGTTGTATCTACAGGAAAACTGTTTTTGCTCGTAGGCTTGCATGAACTTTTCATTTCATGCTCAATCTAGGTATACCTCCACAAGGCAAATGTTTTTGAGTGCATACCTATTCAGTTGCTGCTGCATACATATAGCATTTATATTTTATGCATTGCATTTAAGCATTGCAAATGAAAAGGTCTGTTGCTTCCAAGTTCCATGTTGAGATGCAGAATTGCCTCTTAAGCAATAACTCTCCTAGCTCCAGGGATTCGAGATGGCATGTGGGCAGTTCTTAGTATTATCAGGCTTCTTTCAGCAGTCCAATGTTGACAAAACTCTTAGATGTTTTGGAATGTGGATGTATTTTAGGGGAGAAAAGGTGACGTGTATATTAAAAATTAGAATGAGGGCTGCAGTTTCAGTGGAGTAGTAAATGAAATAAATTGCTTCCAGAATTCCAGGAATTGTTTTACTTAAAAACCTCTTTACAACATTTATATTTCCCTTTTTAGAAGCTGCACACTTTTTTTTTTTAAAGGAACTAAGATGTTGGCTAAGACATTTATTGAAAACGAAATATTTATTTTGAAGACGCTTTAGATATTTTATCCAACTGCTTTCTCCTCCCTCCCTTTTTCCTCTCCCCAACTTTTGAAATATGTGTTGGTGCCCACATGGGGCTTGTATCTTCAAACAATCCAGTTTTTATGTGGGTTTGTCCTCCAGTGCTTGCGATATACTGCACACTTGTGCCAATGAGTTTTGTTCCCTCAGACAGGTTAGAGAGGACTTGAGTTCAAAGTCTTCCATCAAAGGGTGATAGTCCGGGCACGCTGTTCAATGGCAGCTCTTAGCCTTAGGAAATTAACATATTAACATTTAATGTTAATATTCCCTGTTATAATATTGATAACCTTATTATGAGTTGGAGGACTGGGGAGAAAAATGAAAAGATGCACTATTAACTTCAACATCGTCACCAAAAAAAAGATGTTGTCTGAGATAGTTGAATGATGTCAATCATTGGTGGTGTCTTGTTGGATGCATGTTTTTAATACTTATAAAATGTTTTATTCAACCTCTGTAAAATTTCAACAATTTTTATCCCATTTTATTCTTTAAACTAAATGTGTGGGCTACATTCTTCTGAATGCTTACTACCCCCTTATGGTTCTGACTTAAATAAACAGCTTAGACTCTTGTACTTAAAACTACGTGTATGTAGGATCTGGGCTCTGTTCTCTACTGCATAGCAGACTTACAAAGGGTTACTCAAACCCTGTTTTAATTTGGTAGACCTAAGAAAGAGAGTTGGGTGTGAGCATGAAATAGAACAGCCACTTATATCCTAAGTACCAAACAAATTCAGACAGTGAGGGGAAATTCCTTTTGCTTTGGTTTGAGTGAACTTGAAGACTGAAATTGAAATTTTTATAAGTTTCAATTGTAGCCTGTGTATAGTTGCTTGTTTCTGGCTGGCCAGCTTGGGTTTCATGGAGAGCCAATACACACTGTGTATCTGCTCAGTACTAAGAAATAGCAGCTCTTATGATGAGGGTGTAACCTTTTGTATTTTTTCCTTTTGAGAACTGTTTAATTGCTGCAATGCACATGGAATCACATTCAAGACTATGAAGAGGAAACCAGAGAGATCCTTACACAAAATATTTGCTGTGTTCTAAAAATTAGGAAAATAATAACCCTTAATCTCTGCTCTGATGCTTTATGACAGTTTTGGTGTGCAGTTTTCCTATTTTGAAACTGCTCTTTTGCCCAAGGAGACTTTGCATGTGTATGCACAATTTGAAATAATTTTTCAAAGTAGCAGATTAGCAAAACTCTGGCATTTTGTCACTGAAACAACACTAAATCTTCTGTAAATAGCCTATGATTTTTTCATATTCAACAAAACCCATATTTAATCTACATTGTTATCAATTCACTCTTCATTTTAAGCGAATATGCAGATGTCTAATTCCAGACTTCCAACCTGGAAATATTTATCATTGTAAGAATTCAAATAAATGCTGGTTTCCAGGTGATTTTCTGCCTTTTAAATTTTACTTAAGGAGAAGAGCTTTACTGGTCACGCAGAACTACAAGTAAAGAGCTGGATATTTTAGTACGCATTTACTAAAGCTCCCCTATTCTGCTGTCTAAGTTTGTGGCTTTTGGTCCCACTGCTTCTGCCCAGTGTCCCTAGTGTACATGCTGACTGCCTTGCCTACGGATGGCATCTTCTGTCATTTGTTCCACAAAGCTTTTGCTGCTGCACTACTGCTCCTCTTTTTGCATATCTTTATACCTAACGAGTATTAAGGTCCGCTTAACTCTTTTTTTCTCTTGTGCTTCCCAGTGGATCGTATCGTGGGTCTGGATCAGGTTACTGGAATAACGGAGACGGCTTTTGGCTCTGCCTACAAGACGAAGAAGGGCATGTTCCGTACTGTAGGGCAGCTGTACAAGGAATCACTCACCAAGCTGATGGCAACGCTCCGAAATACTAATCCCAACTTTGTCCGCTGCATCATTCCAAATCATGAAAAGAGGGTATGTGCTATAGACCTTTCTTTTCTTTTCCTTTAAAAGAACTTCCGTGTGCATGTTTAGGTATGCATGATTTTTTTGTCTCCTTCCAAAATTGGAAGTTGAGTTTTGCAAAGCTGATACACGGAGTTTATTGGCATGCCACTTGCATCTTCTTATTTAGAAAGTTAACTTTGGAGAGTACATCCTGAAAAAAAAACATAAAATGCCATTTTCCATGCGTACGAGTTGGGAGTGTGAAAATAACGCTTGTTTTGTTGTTCAGGCGGGAAAACTGGATCCACATCTGGTTCTAGATCAGCTTCGTTGCAACGGTGTTTTGGAAGGAATTAGGATTTGTCGACAAGGATTTCCAAACAGGATAGTGTTCCAGGAATTTAGACAGAGGTAACAGCAAGGGATCTTTTGAATTTTTATTCTGACGTGAAGTTCTTTGTTAAATGATTGAAGACAGGAGGAGGGGGAAACACACAACAGAACAAAATCTGAAATGGTGTTAGTTTTTTGAAGTGGCTTGGAATTGAAACATTTAAATGCTACTTGTCATTTGGCCTTCATTTTCTTGTTCAATGCTACTGAACATCCTCGTTTGGGCCTACACAATCCAAACTCTCAAAAGCAATAATCAAAAAGACAGGTTTTGCCCAAAGTAGGTGATAAGCCTTGGTAATAAATCACAGAATGGTAATAAAATGATAATAAAAGATAAGATGGTAACCTAACAGAATGATATGAAAAGCCATAAAAATAGTACATTGCCATTGCTTTAACAAAATGTGTGGATTTATTTATTCTAAAGAGGGAAGAATGGAAAACAATCTAAAATGGCCTTCTGGAAAAACTTTTTGGAGAAACTCCTTAACCCTGCTTGGTGACTATTATGAGTTTGTAATGATGTTGCTTGAGTTTGAAAGGTTTTTTGTTGTTGTTTTTTTGACTTACAGATACGAGATCCTTACTCCCAATGCAATTCCAAAAGGTTTTATGGATGGGAAGCAAGCGTGTGAGCGAATGGTAGGTTTACCCCCAAACACTTTTTAAAACAAAAAAGTTAAAACAGAAAAATATTGTCCTTTTTTGTGACAACAATGTGTTTGTCTCCCATTTAGATCAGAGCCTTAGAGCTGGACCCCAATTTGTACAGAATTGGACAAAGCAAGATCTTTTTCCGAGCTGGCGTCCTGGCACACTTGGAAGAAGAACGAGATCTGAAGATCACAGACATTATTATATTCTTCCAAGCAGTCTGTAGAGGATACCTGGCTAGAAAGTATGTGTCCTTTAATGATTGGGTCCCCTCATTGTCCTTTTAAGTGTCTGTAATAGCGAGCTATGCATCAAAACTTCTATTGGAGAAGAGTCCTTTTCTCAAGATAGAATGTTCTTTGATAAACTCTAAATGTGTCTAAACTGAATAGGTAAATTTGTACCTTCATTTTGTAATCATATTTTATTTTCTTAATCTTGCCTTTGACATATGTAGCTATTTACAGGATAACTGTTAACTGCAAAAATCTTCACAAGAGGATCTTGAAGTTACTGTAAAACTCCTTTCCTGATATTAAAGGGGAGAGTTCAGTGTCTGCATTCCATTCTTTTATATCTATTTGAGAAAAGGACTGTTAACAGTAAGAACAAGTAGCATTTGTTTTTGCTGTTATGAGAATGGTGAATCCAGTTCTTGCCTTGTTTCTTCATACAAGGAATGGGGACCCATAAATCATTCTAGTCACTGAAACTTAAAATTAAGCGTATTTATGGTCTGCAAGTGTTGTAGGGTAGGGTAACCTTAAAATTAAAACCACAAATACATGTACGCTGAGCTGTATTTAATATGAAGAAACGTTTTTCACTGTCTTCAGGGCCTTTGCAAAGAAACAGCAACAACTGAGTGCACTGAAAATCCTGCAGAGGAATTGTGCTGCGTATTTAAAGCTTAGGCACTGGCAATGGTGGAGAGTCTTCACGAAGGTTTGTTTTGTTCTCTCACTTTCTTCGACCCTTGCAAGTCAGTAGAATGTGGTTTCTTACTTGTCTGTCTCAACTCTTTGCAGGTGAAGCCTCTTCTTCAGGTCACTCGCCAGGAAGAGGAACTTCAGGCTAAGGATGAGGAGTTAATGAAGGTGAAGGAAAAACAAACAAAAGTGGAGGCAGAACTTGAGGAAATGGAAAGGAAACATCAACAGGTTTGTGCCCACGATTGGCTTTCAGTATGCAAAATGTGTTTTGCATTGCATCCTATGTGAGGAGCTTATCTTGAGAAAGATCCCTGCGAGCAAAACCGTAGCAAGAGTGTTTTTAGTTCCATATCTCTGCAGTTGCTGTGCCCGTGTCAGCTTCTGCCCAAATATCTTTGGCAGCATTCAGTCCCTATGCAGGGATGAGGACGAGGGAGTCTCTTGGAAACAGTCATTTGCCTCATCTTTTTCTCCTGGGAGAGCTGAGGAGGTGGGGTGGGCACAGTGGGATCTGTTCTTTAACGTGTGGGGACAAGAGGGTAGATGTCACTGTAGCCCTTCTCTTATAGCTGGTGTCTTTTGGACTGCCAATAAAGCTCTCTGATAAAAGTTTTCGTTTTGGGGTCTTGACCACAGTGTTTCATACTGAAGCAGAACTTGGTCTTCAAGTATGTTTATAGTTGTCATGTCTCCAAGAAGCTTTGAAAAGTAAAGATTTTACTGTTTTCTTTTTGTGTAATATTTGCAGCTCTTAGAAGAAAAGAACATTCTTGCAGAACAGCTGCAGGCTGAGACAGAACTCTTTGCAGAAGCTGAGGAGATGAGGGCTCGTCTAGCTGCCAAAAAACAAGAGCTGGAAGAAATTCTTCATGATCTGGAGTCAAGGGTGGAGGAGGAAGAGGAGAGAAACCAAATACTGCAGAATGAGAAAAAGAAAATGCAGGGACATATTCAGGTACGTGTCTTGCTAGACTAGAGATGGAAAAGCATGTGTACAGAACTGCTAGGGACTGAAAGCTGATCAAACATCTCCAGAACATGGAGAAAGTTAGTCCTTTAGCATCATGGAGGGAGTAAAATCAGCTTGAATTCTTCCTCTTTCCTTCAGTGTTTTTAGCACTCTTTTTTTTTTTTAGCACTCAGTGTGATATCCAGGGATATCAGATGAGGGAAATAAAAAGCAGAAAAGTAAAAAGGCCTGTTGTAAGCTACAGCATGTATAGACAGAGGTTTGATGTCAGCAAACTCTTCTGAGTAGGCAGGAGCTAGAAATTACTGCATGTGGCTTAGCTGTTTTCCTATATGAACACCCTCGTGAGATGATCTCATTTCTGAGAGAGAAGTATTCCCTTTTCACTTAAATTCAGTGAGAATATTTTGAAGAATATTCCTTCCTTGACTTTTTTGAAGCAGAAAGGAAGCTTCATCTGCTCTAAGTTATTTGTTTCTGTGAAAATCAGAATGTAGATGTTTCCTTTTGCATATATGGGCACCTTGAAAAATTCTTACAATTTGAGGGGATACATGAGAATGGAAATGTCTTTCAGAATACTGTAAGTACTTAAGGAGAAAAAAAAAACTCATCCCACAGTTTCTCTATGCCTCTTAGTAAGTGTCCGTTGATAATGCACAGAATCTTATTGAAGACTGAATAGAAGCACAAAATATTACAACTTGTCTACTGCTAACTAATGCTGTCAACTTCTGAACCGTTCCAACAGAAATATTGAGATCTACATTTAAATCTCCTCACTGGGGACTTGCTGCCTGTGGCAACTCTTCCCAGTCCCTAGCATCAGTGACATGCTTTGATCAAATACCAAAATACCTGTTTGCAACAGCTTCCTTCTTTACCCATGGCACTAGTACTGTGACACCTGGTGCCCTGTTCAGGTACAGTGTGCTAGGAAGCCACTGTGGTTAAGTACCATTGTTTTTTTTTTCTCCCTGTAGTGTATTTCTTTTGAAAAATTAGGAAGGAGAAAGATGAGAAGGAATGAGTGTGTATTTCCTAGACAGCAGGTTGTGTATGCTTGCCAAAGCTGAAAGAGAGTGTAAAAGATTCCATGTATATCACATGACTCTAAATTTCATTACCAGATCATTGATACTATATGAGTCTAATAAAGTGAAGGGATTTTTACTGTCACTCAGGACAACTGCCTCTTCAAAAATAATACCTGTTTTTCATTTTAATAAGCAAAAAAAACCACACTGAAACAACACATGGGTAACAAAAAATGCATGCATGTGCCTATCTCTGTTCCTAGGACCTAGAGGAGCAGCTTGATGAGGAGGAAGGAGCTCGGCAGAAGTTGCAGCTTGAAAAAGTGACAGCTGAAGCAAAGATCAAGAAGATGGAAGAAGAGATCCTATTGTTGGAGGACCAAAATTCCAAATTTTTGAAGGTGAGATCAGTATATGTGGTGGCGTTTCTGCTCTTAACAAATAGTAGCATGAAGTGACAGCTTTCAGAGCTCTCAGATCTCCAAAATGGCTTTGGATGAGTGTTAAATGGATTTAACACACCCATGTGTTGAACTTCAAAGCTCAATCTTAGAAAACATTTTTTTATACTATACAAATGGATCTTTATAATCCCTTGATGATTACCTGAAATAAATTCTGTTTTAATATGCTGTACAATGCCTTTATTTGTACTGCATATATTTAATTATTCGTGCTGCTTGAAGACTCTGAATAGTATTTTAGCTGTTACTCTTCCCTGTTTTTCTCTTAACTAGGAAAAGAAGCTGATGGAGGATCGAATTGCTGAGTGCACTTCTCAGCTGGCTGAAGAAGAAGAAAAAGCCAAAAACTTGGCCAAACTGAAGAATAAGCAAGAAATGATGATCACTGATTTAGAAGGTTTGATCTTACTGAATTTACCTATTAACAAGTTGGAAGACATGCTGGAAAGAATTGTGTTGCTAATTCCAATGAATGCAATTACATAGTTTAGTCTGATGTAGCTTAATATGTAGATATCTTAACAGCTTTTATTTGCTGTTTGTTTAGATTTTTGTGAGAGATTTGCTTTACTTGCATGACTTGGTTACATCTGTCTGCTCCATCTTACTCTTCCCTCTAACTTGTTAGTTTTTCAAGTTTAAGAATCCATTTCATTTACAAACACTTTTCAAAAATTTATGTTGTTGCACAGATTCCTCAGTAAAAAGGCAAAATGTTTGTCTCTGGCAAGTTGCTGCACTTTTCTGTTGTAACACATTAGAATGTCATAATTCTGAAAGAATGCTATTTGTTGTTTCCTAGGCTTCTAAAAATTTTTGAATAAGCAAGTCTGAATCATTTTGCTTTTCTTAATGTTTTGTTTATCTAAAATAGTTCAGTTTCTTTGGTCATTTATTTAAGGCTGTTTTACCATGTAGTGACAGGCTAAATCAGCGCTATATAAAACCCTTCTTGGTTTATTAAAAAAAATTACTTATGGCTGTAAAATAGCTGCTGTAAAACACTAATAAATTGCCAAGCCAGAATTGCACAAATGTAAGACTAAGTCTCTCTCTGCACCCTAATTTGGAAATAGTTTTTCACCTACTCTATTACAGCCAGTCTTGCATCATATTTCAAACTGGACATGCTTATGGAAGAAGACCAAAGCTTAATATTCTTTGCTTTAGTCTTCTGTACCTTTTCTTCGAAAGTGATATTCAGAGACCTTAAGATGGGCACTAGTAAACTGCACTAACTGGAAAATAATGTTTGAGTAGTTGTGTACTTAAGCCAGCATTAGTGCTAGTGAAGATATTTGACAGATATGTTTGGTTATGGTGACAATCTGAGACGATGCGATGGCCTTAGAAGTGGAAATTAAAGCTTAAATATAAGGCATGCAATCTTTTTGGCTAGTAAAGCACAGTGGAATGATATTTTCTCTTGGAGATGGTTCAAGACGCCTTTAAGCTCACTCTCCTACGGTCTTGGCACAGTTAGGCACTGAAATTTGAACAACAATCTAATTCAATTCGCTATTAGTTTTCTCAATTGCAAGAGAAGCTCTTACAGCGAACTTGTAACTTAAAACTCTCCAGAAATGTAACTCAAGAAAAAAATTATATTTTTAAGTGAGGAACTGTTCAGAGAAGAAAACTAGTGTTAGTGGAGGCTACCTAGAAAATTCCAAATTCCCAGTGGCTCTAAGAGGTGATTCTTGACCATGCCCCTCTCGTCCCATCCAGAAGAGATATTGATCAAATAGCAGGCTCAAAAAGGCTGTAGGAGAAATCTGTGCATAGATCACCCGCAAAATCCCGAATGACACATCTGACATTTTACATTTATGCTGATGCATAGAGAATTAGCAGAGTAGTAATGTTATGCTAAGCACTAGTGGTTTGACAAAACCTTTCTGTGACTGTGCACCTGGCCATTAGCTAACTGCTAAACAATGCAGCTAGTCACGGCCTCCATCAGACAGATAAGGTAAATGTGTTTTACTGCTGTGACACTGATACCTGGATGCTTTTCGCATGAAGAAATACCTGAGGGCAGGAATATGTCAGCTACAAAATTAAATTTCTAGAAGCCATCAAGGGTGTAAAGTCTTTCTAAATCTCTCTAGGTGGGGAGTTCTGAAGTGTCACAGATGCTTGCAAAAAGCATTTTATTCCATGGTTTTTAATACTGTATTATTTTCCAAGAGTCTTTTGGCATCTAGCCTAGTCCTTCAAACTATGCAAACGACCATTTTTTCCAGTTCCTAGCTGATCTTAATTTCTGACTGCTGGTGTGTGAGCATCTGGCCCAGCCATTCAAAAACTGTTTCTCTGTTTGATCCCATTCCCATTTTCTACCAAGATTCCCATTCCCTATTTTCTACCAAGATGAGGTTGTGGTTTTTTTTTTTTTTTTTAACCTTAATGTGTTTTTCTCCAGGGTTTTCCACTTTTTTTTTCTTTAATTTTTGTTTAAGTCATGTAGTTCCACTTGGCTATTTATATTTCCCAGTTGACCTTCCAGCTGCAGACTGGAGAGAGAATTGATGTAGAATAAATTAAACTTCCTGCCCTTCTTCCCACCCCAGTCCCCTGCCCCCAAATCTTCTGAGTATGATTGTAGAATAAATCACTTATAAATAAAATATTCTCTCATTTGTGTAGAGCGATTGAAAAAGGAAGAAAAGACCCGTCAAGAGTTAGAAAAAGCTAAGAGGAAACTTGATGGTGAAACAACAGACCTACAGGACCAAATAGCTGAACTGCAAGCCCAGATTGAAGAACTGAAGATCCAGCTGGCCAAGAAAGAGGAAGAGCTGCAAGCTGCTCTTGCAAGGTCAGAGTGTGTTGGAGCTTATGGTGCCTAAATGTGGCAGAAACTTTGCCCAGACTAAATTTCAATTGACTGCAGGCATTGTATTGAGTAGAGTTGGTAATGTTAAAGTGAGGGAAAAAAAAAAAAAAAAGCGATTACTTAAGTTACCCTGAAACTTCTGGTGCCTCCTGGCCTGGGAAATTGCTCCCTTTTTCGAGTAATCATATATTTAAAAGGTTTTAAAGCAAATTAACACTTGTAAAGAGCCAAAAAAGGAGATCAGTGTGTTTTATCAGGGTCCTTGCTCTATAAAGCTAATAAAAAGGAGTTTCACCAGTAGATAATACTGTCTGGGCTCTGGAAGCTTTTTTACTCACCTGAGTTAGGCTTCAAAAGGGAAAAAATAAGTAATTCAGTCAGCCTTCTTACTGGTCAGAGTATTTTCAGTGGATGTGCAGGATATACATTTTCAAGCTTTGTGCAGTAGTTTTGTTGTTGCATAATACAAATTAAACAGTTGTATTTTTTGAGTAATTTTTAATTTGTTGTGTATGTAGAGAATATTCCAAGGACAGGTTGTGTTTGTGGGGTAATACCCAATGAGATCTGCAAAATCAGAATACTTGAATGTCAATTTGAAAAACTTGATGATTCTCATAGTTTATCTGGCGTGCACTAGTAAGGGTTCAATAGTGTGTTTTTTATCTATAAAGTTTTAGGAACTGTGTCTTATTCTAGTAGGAAACCTTATAGCTATTTTTCCTAAAATATATCACTTATGTACATAATCTAAATAGCATTTTACTATTATGAGAATAGGGTTTAAAGCTATAAAATATAATTGTACTAACTGTTACATTACTGTTTAACAGAGGTGATGAAGAAGCAGTTCAGAAAAACAATGCCCTGAAAGTGATAAGAGAGTTACAGGCTCAAATTGCAGAACTCCAGGAGGATCTTGAGTCTGAGAAGGCATCACGCAACAAGGCAGAAAAACAGAAAAGGGACTTAAGTGAGGAGTTGGAGGCTTTAAAAACTGAACTGGAAGATACGTTGGATACTACTGCAGCACAGCAAGAGCTGAGGTACAGTCACATGTCTTTGTAAGAAGACACTGTTGAAATCCATCTTTAATTTACAAAAGGCTAAAATACTGATTTTGATAACCCTTGATGTTTTCTCTAGGACAAAGCGTGAACAGGAGGTTGCTGAACTAAAGAAAGCAATTGAAGAGGAAACCAAGAACCATGAAGCACAGATCCAGGAAATCAGACAGAGGCATGCTACTGCCCTGGAAGAGCTCTCTGAACAACTTGAACAGGCCAAAAGGGTAAGCAGGAAATAAATTACAGGAATATATTTCCCTACTTCAAGGTTTATGTGGGGCAAGCAGCAAATGAATTACAGAAATATATTTTTCTGCTTCAGGGTTTTATGTGAAGTAATATAACTGTTGTGGTCCTTTCACTGACATCTGCATGCAGAGCTAAATTGCCCTCCTGTATGCATGCATTACAATTGAGATTACTCAAATACATCACACTGATTTGTTGAACCTATTGTAACTATTAGGCATTCTTGGCAACCGCCTGAAAAGTCTTCGTTAGACTTCGAAACTGTTCACCTAGAGATAAATCATGTAATGCTTTTATGTGAGTTCTTCAGCAGTCCACATGGTCATTTGGAGAAAAGCAGTTCTCATGGGTGAACTGCAGAATGCTTCCAAATAAGGTAATTATAATGTAGTACTTGGAAAGAAAAACCTAAGTTAAGAGCAGGTAGTGTAGAAGTTCTTCCAGCCACTCTTAACTTCACGCTTGTGCTATGAGCTCCAGTGCTAGATATTGGAATTGCCAGCTGTGTTGAGTTGTGTGATCACCAGAACAGGTAGGAGGAAGCACACTCTCTTTATATCTAGGCAGCAGTATTCCTTGTAGTGTAGCCTGAGCGTCCCACTCAAAAGCAGAATTTTTCCAACACTCTCCCCTACCTTCCCTTCCACTCCCGCCAGAAAAAAAATCCTTACTTTGTGAATTGTGGTCTTGGTGGTTCCACAAGCATTTGTGGACAGCTGGTGTGTTGTAGTCACGTTTTTATATTGCTGGTAGGGAATACTTTACATTAAAATACAAAGTGAGAAATGGAGCAATTATAGCTGGTGGAAAATTATAGTTTATATAGTTGAAGATCTTATGCATGTCTCTTGCTCCTTACATACGCTCAGTAAGGATATAAAATGCCTGAAAAAATACCCTGCAATCTTAAACCAAGCTCCTGTTCATAGTAAGATAATGTAGGTTTAAATTACATAGTTAGTAAGAATAGAACTTAAACATCACTCATGCAGATTAATAATTTTTAAAAAGATCTTTTTGGGGGGAAGGTAGGGAAAAAATGAGAGCAGTGGTGAAAAATGCTTTGTTACGCACTTCCCAGCTGCTATGCCTACTAAAATCAGGGCAGCTTTAGCTGATATCTTTCCTTTTATTTCTGTGAGATGAGCCATGGTGATCTGTTAATGGGCACATTCCTTCCTACTTACAGTGCTGCCCAAACAGTCGTTTTACAGCATAGATGTTCCACATCTTGTTCAAGTCATAGAATGTCTTCTGGTGCTCACTGCTACCTGTGATATCTGAAAGGAGATTGTGCTTTAATTTATTGGTCTTTGACTAATGCATGCAGAAGGCTTAACGGAAATGTTTTAAACAATCCCTACTTACAGCTTCCCAAGCACTTGTTTTATATTTGTTGAAGTGAATGATATCTTGCAGAAAACTCTATTGATATGTAATAAATTTCTATCCTTTTGTGTCTTTCGTAGTTCAAAGCAAACCTTGAAAAGAACAAGCAAGGTCTAGAGTCTGACAACAAGGAGTTAGCCTGTGAAGTGAAGGTATTGCAGCAGGTCAAAGCAGAGTCTGAACATAAGAGGAAGAAGCTTGATGCTCAGGTACAAGAGCTAACTGCCAAGGTCGCAGAAGGCGAAAGACTGCGGGTGGAGCTGGCAGAGAAAGCCAACAAGCTGCAGGTAAGGCTGTATGGACCTGAACTTTTTCTAAAGTCCTAAACTCCTGAAAAAAACAGGCAAGAAAATAAAAGCTTTAAACACGCGCAGAAAGAGCTGGGAGAAATGGTCTTTGAAAGTGAGGTCTGTGGAAATTATGCATATAGTGGACATGGGAGGTGACCACAGTCATTCCTTCATGAATACTTGAAGGGTCCCAGACTGCTGGCATGCCTTGGAAGGTAGTAGTTCAAGAAACCCATGACTAGTATCAAACCTGCCCAGCTGTGTGAGAATTATAGTGGTTCCTAAGTGCATGGATCCCTATCCTGGAGACAAACTGTGAAGGCTTTTGCATAGTCTAGCTTATGACAACTGGAATTCTGCTTTTAAACTTGGATATAGGATTGTAGATAGTAGATGTGGCTGAGCTTATTTGTATATGTAAGCAAAGTGTGCTGATGATGGTCATTAGTTTCCTTTGTGCTTCAAGTTGGAAGCTTGATGGATGGGGGTAGCAAGAAAAGGCCCCATTCTTCTATGAAAAGGAGCAAGTGGGAGCCAGGACTGCCTTTCCAACCACAGCACCGCATACTTTAGCTGAATCAGCCTAAAGTATCTTGGAAAGATAATGGTCCAGTTCTTCTCAGAGGAAGCTTTTAGGCAGTCTCTTAAAATATCCACAAGTCTAAATAGCCTAAAATACCAAGAGCTGGCACCTGACAGTAACCTTTTCTGTTGTGGTGATGCTCCAAACCCAGCTGCCACCCTAATACTCTGGGTTAATGGGTCCCATAAGATGGCCCTATAATTAAAAATAGTATTTAAGTATGAATGCAGATATTGGCATGCGCAGATTGAAGTGACTTGCTCTGCTGAATAGCATGCTTGACTCTTGTGATGTTATACTGCTTAAATTGAAGATTGACATTCAACCTGAAAGTTTGCAGCCAAACTTTTATATTTTTAGCTCCTGGGGTCTCTGTAGTGGGAGCTATGGTTGCCTTAGTTGCCATGCCTGGAATTTGCTGAGGTTTTGTGCTCTGCACTTCCAGCCCCCGGTGGGATGTGAGTTTTGTTGTGAGTCAGCTGCACGGTGTTACCTCTAGGCTGCTTGCTTTGCAGAACGAGTTGGATAACGTCTCAAGTCTCCTGGAGGAAGCAGAGAAGAAAGGTATTAAGTTTGCCAAGGATGCAGCTAGTCTGGAATCTCAACTTCAGGATACCCAGGTGTGTGCACAGCGGAGCTGGAACTTGCACTGAAGCTTTGCACCACATGAAAATACCAACTGCAAACGAAACATTTTGTTCATAGTTTTGAAAGTCTTTTAGATAGAAACTGTAATTTCTACTGTGGTCTAATGAAATGTGCTGTACAGTGACAGCTCAGCTACATGTGGGGCCAGTTTATGGTCAGATAAGCTTTGCTGCTTCGTGGATTGTACACTCCCATTTCTCTTTTAATAGTTGGCTCCCACAGAGACTAAGAAATAAATCAGGAAAAAAACTTTCCAAGTAGAAAGTGTAAATAGGACTCCAGGGATATAGGAAAGGGACAAAAGAGAATACTCTATCTTTTATTGATAGCTTAAGTTCCTGAAACTACTAGTGTGTTTTTGGAGTTTAATAAAGCTACTATATTCATGTATTCAGCACTGAAATATGCTCTTTTCTGTTAGAAATTGCTAATGATAACTATTTCAATAATGTTAATGCTAATCAGAATTAGAGCTAGAGGGCTGTAGAGAACAGAATCGAGTGGTAAGGAAGGGAGACTTAGGTGTTAGTGTTGATTATTTTCTATTAAGATAAAAGTTCCCACCGCCGAATCACAGCTATCTTTAAACTAACTTTTGTATTTATACAGTGCAGTAAAACTCAGAAACCTGGAAACATGCTGCTGTTGCAGGATTTATTGCTGGTTTTTGTTCCCACATGGTTTTAAATAGGTGTTCTGTGCTTGTCTTAATGGAAGAATAAATAAACTTTGAGCATAACTCAGCTTTTTGTATTAAGGAAAGGAGAAGTATCATCTGGTAGCTTGTAGAACAGACAATGGCATGGTCAGTTCTGAATAGAGAGAATACTTCTGCAAATAGGCACAAGTGGTGATCATGGTCTTCACACTGCTGTCAGAGTTTTCCGTAGCTTTTTGTTTCAAACCCATTTCTTCTATAGGCACTCATGAGGTGTCTATGTGGAATAACAGAAAGTAGTAGTCCAAGGCCAAGGTTAACATACTGTCAAGAACTGAACTTTGAATATGTCTGTTCATGCAACAGGAGCTGCTTCAAGAAGAAACCCGCCAGAAACTCAATCTTAGCAGTAGGATTAGGCAGCTGGAAGAGGAGAAGAACAATCTTCAAGAGCAGCAGGAAGAGGAGGAGGAGGCCAGGAAGAACCTGGAGAAACAAATGCTAGCCTTGCAATCACAGGTAAGCTGTTTGTAAAAGCAAGACTTCTATGAATTTGAGGTGATGTAAATTGGTACCAGGAAAAAGATCAGTTAATTTGCACAAATACTGGACTGAATTGCAGAAGAAAATTTCCTCTTTTCTTTCCTTGTAACAGTAGTGATTGTGAGGGACAGGACTCCCTACCATTAAGCTTGCTTCTAACTGGTATTGGTATTGCCTTAGCTATGCAAGCAAGAAGCTTGGTAATAGTGTCCTATTCCAGTTTTGTACTCTAGAGATGATGACTTTGTTTCCTTCTCCTCATGTATTAAGAAACTCTGTTTTATTTTGTAAAATTTCAGTTGGCTGATGCTAAGAAAAAGGTAGATGATGACTTGGGAACCATTGAAGGTTTGGAGGAAAATAAGAAGAAACTGCTGAAGGATATGGAGTCTTTGAGCCAGCGTCTAGAAGAGAAGGCATTGGCTTATGACAAACTGGAAAAGACCAAGAATCGCCTGCAGCAAGAGCTGGATGACTTGATGGTAGATCTAGACCATCAGCGCCAGATTGTTTCTAACTTGGAGAAAAAGCAGAAGAAGTTTGATCAGGTAGTCCAATTTCCTGATATCTTTCTGTGCTTTTAAAAGGCAGCTTTAGGTTGTGTAGTCATCACTTTTGAAGCCTCGTAAAAAGAAAATGGGTTTCTGTGAGCAACTGGGGCTTCATCCTGAGTAGTCACTTAAGATTTCAGTGAGTTAAATGCCAGCTTTATTTATACTGTTAGATGAAGTGATAAACTGTCTGCATATAAGAAAGAAATCATACTGGGACAAAAAATGGCCTTAAAAACATTATTATAATCCCTGAAGATTGTGATAGACTGAAGAAAAGATGTGAAGGCTGAAAGATGAACATAACACAAGACCTGTGTAATCAAGTAGTGGGGTGGTGGATTTCTTTCTTGTCCCATTCCAAGTAGCTGTTTCTCACCTGGGCTTTGAACAAGACTTGAGAGGCTAGACAGAACTTCTGAAAGCCAATTAGGCTTAGAGTATTAACCACTTCTTTAACTAAAACACCTTTGACAATAAAGACTTGGTCATGGGATTTATGAGATATATTAATCAATCTTTTGTGTTCAGATGCTGGCAGAAGAGAAGAACATTTCTGCCAGATATGCAGAGGAGAGAGATCGTGCTGAGGCAGAAGCAAGGGAGAAGGAAACCAAAGCACTCTCTCTGGCTCGGGCTTTGGAAGAAGCACTGGAAGCTAAAGAAGAATTTGAGAGGCAGAACAAACAGTTGCGTACCGATATGGAGGACTTAATGAGCTCTAAAGATGATGTGGGCAAAAATGTAAGTGTTTTTCCACACCTTATTTTGATACACAGATGTTGTGTGCTGTCTTCATATAATGCCTTGTTTTGCATTTAGTAATTTTGTTGAAACAACTGAAAGAGAGGGTCTGATTAATGTTTGTGGTTCAGGTCCATGAGCTGGAGAAATCAAAACGAACTTTAGAGCAACAGGTTGAAGAGATGAGGACTCAGCTTGAGGAACTGGAAGATGAACTGCAGGCCACAGAAGATGCAAAGCTTCGTCTGGAGGTGAACATGCAAGCCATGAAAGCCCAGTTTGACAGAGATCTACAAGCCAGAGATGAGCAGAATGAAGAGAAAAAGAGGATGCTCGTTAAACAAGTATGTCTAATGTACTGTATGCCCTGTACCTCACAGTGGGAAGCGTGTGAGACTCCTTTGCTAAAACTTTGTAGCTTTGGCAATATTTTTCTGCCAAGAATTAAGACCCTTTATTTGCTTGAAGATTCTTATCCTATAGAAACCATAAGCACTGAACTTCACAAACAGCAGAACATGTTTTGTTGAGTACTGAGCCCTGTCAGTTGTTGCTGTCAGTGAGTCTCCTCCTGCTAATCCCCCAGTTCAACTGTATTTCAGCCTCCTTTCAAAAAAACATGAAGCAGGAAGTGGTGATTCTGCTCGACAAGTCCATGCTGTTTGTTCCACAGGAACAAATCCATGGATGTTGAGATAATTGGAAGACTTCCAATTAAGTGAACTGCTTCCTAAAATAATATTGTGGAAAAGGCCCCGGATTTTCCAGGTTCAGCAATTCTAGAAAGAAAAAGCAAATCCAAAAAGACTCAAGAGATACCTTTAAGAATATAAGCTTTTAAGAGAAGACTTCAGTCTTTGATTTACATTTGGGTCTGGCTTTTGGATTCCTTTTTTAGACTTCTTTAGTGGGGACTAAAAACATTTTTGGAAATGATTTGGAAATAAAGGTGTGAGGAGAAAACAAAAAAAGTATTTCAAGATTTATCATGAGAAAAATACTGAAAAACACCTTTCTGAAAAAATCTCTCTCGGATAAGAACTCAAACATTGGATTTGGAAGGTTTTTCAAGTATATTACAAGGAAAAGGGTGAGGTATTATCTTGCATTGGACAAGAGCTCTTGACCTAACATGAAGATGAAAGTTGATTCATGCCCAATTACACTTTTGTCTTCTGTGTCATTTGCCCATGTAATGGCACCATTTCTGGCTTCATTTTATTTTGCATAAGTTTGGTTTAGGTTCCTGTTGCTAGGATGCTCAGGTACCTTTAATATAATTGTATTGTTTTACAGTTTGCATTGTTGGGCATAGATTGCTAGTAGCGTATGTATTTCTAGAGAATAAATTATTTCTTTCTTCCCCTTATAATTTGAGGTGATTCTGCTTTTCGTTTTCCTCTTAGTGGTTCTATCAGGGATACTAAGGTGTGTCCCAGAATGATACCTAAATATAGATAGACGAATTGGACAAAAAGCTGATCGCTATGTAGTTGATCAGGGGAAATGCTTTTAGGAAAAATGTTATTTTTCTGAAAAATGTAGTCTTTTTTTTTTTTTTTTTACTTAACTTGCACAGATTTCTGCTTCCCTTTTTTGTTTTTTTTTGTTTGTTTGTTTTTGTTTTTTGGGTTTTTTTTTCTATCTGCGATGTCTTTTCCCTGAGTTGCATTCTGTAGTCATTTACAGTCAACTAATGTTGCTTCCACTTTGCAAAGGCCTTTGGGATTCACTGACCATTTATCAGGATCTTTTGCTTGTTCCATTCCTGGAACGGAGCCAGTTTAAATTTCATCTTGATTTCGCAGGTGCGAGAGCTGGAGGCAGAACTAGAAGATGAGCGCAAACAGAGGGCTCTGGCTGTGGCAGCCAAGAAGAAAATGGAAATGGATCTAAAAGACCTGGAAGGTCAGATAGAAGCTGCAAACAAGGCTCGGGATGAAGCAATCAAACAGCTACGTAAGCTTCAGGTAAGCAGCAAATGACCTGGACTGCTTTGTCTCGTGGGGACAGTCTGTTAAGCGTGGTACTACTGTTAAATGCACTTATCATTTGAAGGCAAGAAGACTATCAGACTCAACTGTCCTGTGTATGTCCTAGTGTATCTGGTGTGAGCTGTTCACCTGTTCAGATAATCTTTCATCCTTATATCAGCGAGGAGTTAAGATTTCCCCTCCCTCCCAAAAAAAGTTTCAATTGGCATATTTTTCAGCTCTTTTTATAATGATTGACTGCCGAAGAGAGTCCAGTGCAGGGCTACAAGGATGATGAGGGGCCTGGAACATCTGCCCTATGAGGAGAGGCTGAGGGAGCTGGGCCTGTTCAGCCTGGAGAAGAGAAGGCTGAGAGGGGACCTGAGCAGTGTCTAGAAGTACCTCAAGGGAGGCCGTGAGGAGGATGGGGCCGGCCTCTTTTCAGTGACGGCCACCGACAGAACTAGAGGAAATGGCCAGAAACTGAAACACCAAAAGTTCCGCATGAACTCAAGGAAAAATTTCTTACCACTGAGGGTGACAGAGCACTGGAACAGGCTGCCCAGAGAGGTTGTGGAGTCTCCTTCTCTGGAGATCTTCCAAACCCGCTTGGACGCAGTCCTGTGCCACGTGCTCCAGGTGACCCTGCGTGTGCAGGGGGGTTGGACTAGATGACCTCTCGAGGTCCCTTCCAACCTTAAGCATTCCGTGATTCTATGATTCTATGACTGAATATTGCTTTACAAGCTGCATATCAGAAATTTTCAGTTGTTTGATCTTTGAATTTGCTGCTTTAGCTTCCTAACTCTTTCTTGCTCAATTTGAACTTTTTAAGGTGTTTGAAATGAAATGAAATGAAATGAAATGAGGAGTAAATATCAGTTGCTTTTAAGAACCTGCAAGAAACCTCCTTTTTTTTTTTTTTTTTTTTTTGAAGTTTGGCAAGCAAACCTGATCCTTGCATTTCTTTTGCATTTCCAGAAAAATAATCAACATTTGGCAGATTTGCGGTTTTGCCTGAGATTTTTATTGCTGTGACCTGAAGTTGCAGGAGTATGAGACCATACCAAGACTATGTAAAGCTTATGAGAAATCTAATTACCTGTGTCCTGGCTTTTTCCACCGCAGTCCAAGGGCATTATCTCTCCACAGATTTGGTGCTCAAGGGTAATTGAGCAGCTTTTCATCAGAGCTTTATTTTTCTACAAAAAATACACCAGGTAAAATAGGGCAAGCTCTAGAAAGGTGTATTTTTGACCAGGAATGAGTGATGGAGGTGTTAGAAAATGAAAATAAGAAATGAATTTTCAGTTAAGTGGAATGAAGTCACTTTGAGCAAAGATCTTACTTCTTAAGAGCTGAAAAGGGCTTCAGTGCTGATGATAAAAACTTCTGAATGCCCTAATGCAGCATGGCTGGTTTTTTTTTTTTTTTTTTTTTTTTTTTTTTCTTCTTTCCCAACTACAGGCTCAAATGAAAGATTACCAACGGGAGCTGGAAGAAGCACGTGCATCCAGAGATGAGATTTTTGCACAGTCCAAAGAGAGCGAAAAGAAGCTCAAGAGTCTTGAAGCAGAAATCTTGCAGCTTCAAGAGGTGAGATTAAATGCAAGAAAATGCCTTTTTTCTTGCTGGAGTAAGGGCAAGTTCAGAAGCCACCTCTCCACATGCCCATATTCCTAAACTCTTTTGCAAGTTTTCAATGACTCTGTAGGAATCGTTCAAGTAGTTTGTACTTGGTTTCTCTGTCTAGGAAGCAGGAAGACTTTACTTGAAATGATAAAAGGCCTTATTAAGACTTAGGTCCCTAGAGAATGTCTAAAAGGTACCATACACAGTGTTGACACTAAAACTGATTGCTGCAAATATATGACCTAAGAATCCCTGATGTTTCTCAGTGGACCTTTTAAATCTGCAGAGGTTTCTCACTCCTTTCTCACTCTTACTCGTCCTATCTCTTACAGCCCTTTATTCCCTCACTGTTTTCAACTCACGTCAAAGCTCTGTCTTGCTAAGTATCACTTATCCATCATTATGGGGTTGGACTAGACAACCTCTAGAGGTCCCTTCTAACATTAAACATTCTATGATTCTATGATTATCCCCTTGGTGTGCTGCAAGGCCAAACATCAGAAGACCTGCTGTGTGCAGGGGACTTGTCAACACTTTGTGCTGCATTAACTGCACATCAGTGTTTGAAACAGTCACTGAGATTTCACTACATGTACTAAACTTGAGCTTTTACAGATAACCTGTAAGCAACTAGAGCTGCTTCATGTGTCAGTCTCAAACTTCTCAGCCTTGTACTTGCAATGTATCTGGGGTTCCTTTTTAGCAAGTGCCTGATGTTTACACCACAGGCAGTTTATACTGATTTACTGTCCATTTTAACTTAAATTAATACTGCAGTCATATAGAGAATAAAGGCAAGTTGCAAGGTGATGTGCCTAGTCATTACCTGATTGCCCACTAGGTTCTGCAGATGTTGGTTTGGTTTATCCTTTTATCCTTTAGTCCTTTAAGGCTAAATTGTTTGCCAAATTTGAAATCTCTAATAAATCTCTTCTTAAATCTTTGCAGGAGTTTGCCGCATCCGAAAGAGCCCGTCGCCATGCTGAGCAAGAAAGGGATGAGCTGGCTGATGAGATTGCAAACAGTGCTTCAGGAAAGTGAGTCATTAAATGTATTAACTGTGCATCTGGAATGTTTCAGGGAGCAGTACCTCTGGTTCTCAGTAGTCACCTTATAAATTCTCATCTGACCCATCTTTATTTCTCTTCCATCATGAAAAGAATTGCTAACACAGCAACCTCTGACAATTTGTAATGCCTACGTTTTCAAAAGCAAACTAGCCAGTTGCTTTACCAGGTTGAGAACAGATCTTGTCCCAGCTATTGTCTTTCTAGGTCGGCGCTGCTGGATGAGAAGCGCCGCCTGGAAGCCCGTATCGCACAGCTGGAAGAAGAGCTTGAGGAAGAGCAGAGCAATATGGAGCTTCTCAACGAGCGGTTCCGAAAGACCACGCTGCAGGTAAAGCAGCTCTTGGCAGCGCTTTGGGGGCAGATTGCATTTCAGTGTGTGGCTGAGTAGAGACATTGAACAGCACCGAATAATCCGTTCTTCTCTGAAAGGTTGATACACTGAATTCTGAACTAGCTGGAGAGCGGAGTGCTGCCCAGAAGAGTGAAAATGCACGGCAGCAGCTGGAGAGGCAGAACAAAGAGCTGAAAGCCAAGCTGCAGGAACTGGAGGGATCTGTGAAGTCTAAGTTCAAGGCAACAATTTCTACTCTAGAAGCCAAGATTGTGCAGCTAGAAGAACAGCTTGAGCAAGAAGCCAAGTAAGCACAGTTTGTTTGCTGGTATTTGCTCTGTCAGTACAAAATGCCTGAAACTTTAATGCCTTGAGTTTTCACAGGGCAGAGATGTGAGCTTGTATAAAATAGACAGGTTTTATTATCTAGAAACCTACTGCTGAAGGGACACACTATGACTAGATTTTTGAGAAGTGAGTAGAGTTAAAAGTTGAAGAATCAGTTTGTTCCATAACTGAAGCTGATGAATTAATTCCTGAATTTAACCAGCTGCTATATGTGGAGGCACCAGGACCCACAGGGTGTTGCAGAAGTTCTTGAGACAACTTGAAGCTTCCATTTGAGACACTGGTCTCTGTGGTTCAAGGAAGCAAGGTTAACAGCTTAGTCTTGATGGCTCAAACAGGTGGAGAACACAGATGTCTGCAGAGCACAGGATTCGTCTCATCTGCTTCATGTCTGTCCTTCCTATCTCAGTCCTCAGCTCTGTTTTTAAAGTATTTCCCCCCAGAAAGCTCTAGAATAGACAGCCTTGTTACCATCTCCATTTCTTTAGTACTTTTGGCTCTGAGAGAGGATCGCATTATTGGTTATCAAAATTCTTAAAGCTGCTCAGAGGGGTCTCATTGTAAAGAAGCACTTTCCCTCCTCCTCTTTTTAGACTCGATCCCAATCTGGTATTCCTCCCGTGCCAATGCTGTATGCTACCAAAACTGCATCCCAGCTAACCTCCAGCGTACTGAACCTAAGGTGGTGGTGGTGTAGTGGGAGGCGTGTTAGGAAAACTGAATCATGAGTTGTGCAGTGGAACAGGAGCCTTTTCAAAATGACAGATCTCACTTTCCAGCCTTTGAATACAGGAGCCAATTAT